GTTCTTTCCTATGTTTTCCTATTTTTAGCCAGTCAGTGTTAGAAATAAGTGCATGAATACTGGCAGCTAGAATTTTATTAACTCTAAGTTATATATTTCTGTTAAAACGAAGCAATAAATCCCCAACAACGTACTTTGCCAGAGTTAAAAGAGAGATGAATGCTTAGCAAAAAATATATTTCAAGAAAATAATTTCATTGGAATATGGAATAAACACATGGATCTTTGTCGATATAGAAAATAAATCTGTTTATTCAAAAACCTAGGGCGGATAAATATTTCATGCTGAAAAGTGCAATACAAAATAGTTCCCAATTAGATTGGAAATTTCAAAAGTTTCAAAAATAGTAAGTGTCATAAAAACAAGCATTCTGAAAAAAGATAAGTCACAATACTACATGCGCAAGGGCTTACAGGACCTCATGTTATTGGAATAAGATAAAAAAAATACTACCAACCCTTGGCGAAATAAAGGAATTTACGTAATAAAATGGTTAAAATATTCATACTTATTAAATATTGGGATTGGATCTGTGTTTTTTTATTTGTATTTACCTTTCTGTTGCTAAAAGCAAAAACACGTAAACTATTTCAGGCTATAACTGTATAGATAACGTGTTGGCTAGAAACAGCTGTGAAGGCCTCTCACTGTTGCTTCGTTTCTGTAAACAGCTAAGGCAGTCTTTCACTGTTGCTTCTTTTCTGTAAACAGCTGTGACAGTATCTATTGCTTCGTTTCTGTAAACATCTAAAGCAGTCTTTAACCGCTGCTTTGTTTTTGTAAACAGCTTTGACAGTCTCTCTACTGTTTCGTTTCTGTAAACAGCTGTGACAGTCTCTCTATTGTCTTGTGTCTATAAACAGCTGTGACATTCTCTGTGTTTCTAATATTTGACTGGTAATAATATACAATTTTCGGAATATTGAAGTATATTTCATGGAATATTTAATTCTTCACTTTAATTGGTAAAACCAGGAAAGGTTCATTTCAAATACCTCGATTATTTGTGTAAAATAAATATATAAAGTATAATTTTAAGTGATCAGTGAAGTAGCATGTTGTGGCAATACAATGGTAGATAACAGTACTGCATGTGTTCGAAATACAAACTTGTTTTCTTCCATATTTATATTATGTTCTAGAAAATTCTATGTCACACTTTAAAACCTGTGAGGTAATTTCATGACTTACATCCCTGGCCAAATTTTTATTGTTGAGTATTTTTATTTATTTTTAACGTATGGTATGTTAGTTTATACAAGTCTTAGATGAGTTTATGAAATAGTAAACATAGCTTTACTGATACCTAAAACTGAATATTTTCATCACTGTTCAGCTTAACACAACTGGTGAGGAAATTCATTTTAAACCATGTTCCTGTTTATGTTGCTTTGCTATTAACTCTTCTCAGAAAATGATTTTTAAAACACTTGGTCAACTTTAGAAAACATGTTTCCAATCATCCAAGAAGTAAACGGATTAGACAGAAAAATGGATAAAAGGTCGCGATCACAGTAAATGTTGACGTATAAATAGAATATTTCGTGTGAAATAATTCAATCTCTTCTAAACTGTGAGAAGTTGCTACTGCTGCTACGAAAAAAAGAAAGCAAAGTGCAAGGTGCGCGCGGTATAAAATATCATATTGAGTATATCTGAAATAGTCTGAAGTTATCAAATCCGTTAAAGTTCTACCCATTGGTTTCTCAAAGTGGAAAGTTGACATTTTGTGACCAGGGTGTTTCTGCGTTTTTATTATATCACAGTTTTTAATCCCCCTCTCTCTATATATATATGTGTGTGTGTGTAAGGGTGTGCGTGTACAAGAGACAGTGGTTCAACTATGATTTAGTTTTCAACATTATATTTTCCTGAGTCTATATACTTGTTCTAGCGGGACTCTAAGGCCTTTATCTCCTTCTGAAAAAACTTATTCTAGGTCCTCAGTCCATGACCGGATGGTATATACGAGATCACCATCTTTCTGAAATCTTCGACTTTTCAGAAAAAGTTCAAATTTAGGGAAAATGAAAAAAAGTCACTTGGAGCTAAATCCGGTGAGTAAGATGGGGTGATTGAGTAATTTGAAGCAAGCATCATGGATAGCATTCAAAGCAGCATGCGATTTGTTGAGCTGGGACATTGTTCTGATGGAAGAGTACACCTTTTTTTTTAGTAATTCTCTTCGTTATTATTTGATTTCTTGACGCAAATCGTTGATTAAGGATGCATGATAATTTCCTGTAACGGTTTGACCCCACTCCAAATAATCAACTAGAAAAACGCCATTGGTCTCCTAAAAATTGAAGCCATGACCTTCCCAGCAAACTTCATTCATAGTTACGAATCTGTTGAAACCTTTGAAGTAAGCGTTACCTTTTAACAACTAGGATCCGTTTCTGTTCAGGTGACAACATTTTTGGAACCTATCTGGCACTATCCTTACTCTTGCTCAAACTGTCACTCAAAATGCGTGGTACAGTACTTTTACCGATTCCTACTTCCTCTGTTAACTCCCTAATGGTAATTATTCTATCATATAGAACCAAATCATGAATTTTATCTATAATTTTTGTTGTGGTCGATGTCGAGAGCCGATTTATACTAGGATCATCTTCAATTGATCGTCTACCTCACTTAAACGTAGCACACCACTTTTTTTTTCTTTTGAATATACCGAAGCGCCCTCTCCTAATTATGCTTCAATGTCCTGGTGGATTTCTTGTGGAGTCGTTTTCTTATTAACAAAATATTTAATCACAGAACGTAGTTCGATCTTCTCCATAACGTTTAACACTACTCACTTCTGTCCTTCAAAAATCCGCAACACACAAAATATGCTAGTTATGTGTTACGTGTTATTTATTCATAAAAAAGTCAAACTTAATATTTATCAGAAAAAATCATACATTCTCGTTTTGTTTTTAGGTCGGGCCACAAACTTTACAGACAACCCTCGTATATATCACTTCATAATAGCCTAGACTTTCTCTCAATAACTAATGATAAAATGTCTACTATACTGTGTTTTTTTCCTCATCAATAACAACTCCTCTATGGTAGTTTTACCGATGATTCGGTTCAGCTTTACGTTATAAGATACTTCTTTTAAACGCTTTTTATCTTAAAACGTTGTGGTGCTCTAGTAAAATTAACTAGGAAATATGTATTCAACAACAATTAATTGTGAAATTTCTAATCAGATGAATTGGGAAATATGTGTTTAACAACAACTAACTGTAAACTTTTCAAATTTACTCGGTAACATGTATACAACTTACTGTTAAACTCTCCAATAAACGAACTCTGAAATGTGTGTAAAAGAAAAGCTAATTGTTCAAATTTTGAATTAAATTAACTAGGAAATGTGTGTACAACAAAAAATAATTGTGAATTTTTTAAATCAGTGCACGGAAACTTTCCTTTATTCTTTTATTTTTAGAAATTTTTGTTAAACTTTAAGAAACAAATTCACGTATTGTTTTATTGTTCTTGGCCTAATTCTAACGTTTCACAAAATTGTCCAACCTAAAAGACTTCATGCGTTTCCGGCTTCAACCACATAACCGCCAGAATAAACTAAAACGACATCAAAGTGTAAGGATTCAGATTAAAGAATAAAAAAAAATTTAAATAACACGCAATGGCTGTTTGATTATTGAATTTGAAAAGCGTCTTCATATCATTACAATCATCTCGAATCCGTTTACAGGCAATATACAGGTCGAAAATACTAAAGACTACTTAAAACGTAGCTTTATTTACACCTTCATTTTAAGATGCACTTACAAGCTCTTTGTTAACTGATGGACATTTCTGATCAGTATGTAAACACACCTCTGTATGTTTATTATATTAGCTTAATGTAAGTAATCTGCTGTATATATTGTCGTTTTTGTTCGTGACTATTCTTGCTTGGGTAATCTATTGTTTTATAAATAAATAATGATTTAAGTTTTAAGGGCAATATATTATCCAGAGGTGATTCAATAAAATTCTTGGAGTTATTATCCAAAATAATCTCAGAGGGTTTTTACACTTAGAGTCCTTTATCAAATTTATTGTGCCATTTTCTACAGTCAAATGACTTATTGTTTAAGTATATGGGGCTCACATTTTAATGCGTTAAGACAGCTCTGGTTGTTACAAAAGAGGGTCTAGAGGCTAATGATCGGTCTTTCTTGTAAAACATTGGTTTCAAGCAAATTTAAGGAATATGGACTTTTAACTATTTATCAGGCCTGTATTTACCGCTTCATTTGTGTTGCAAGTAGTATTAAAATATTTAATTCCGAAATAAATTTGTTAATTCCCCTAGAGATAGTATATATATTTCTTTCGTCATAGAGATATCTATTACTGCCCAATAATCGCTTCATTTTTGAGTTCTAAGTTGTTTTTTTATTTAGCTCCAGTGATTTTAAATCGATTGATCTTTGATTACTGTTTTACCTCTAGTATCAAGTTATTTGAAATAAAAATGTGCAATTATGTATTTAATAATTATTCCATGTTTGTTTAACATATGTGTAAATGAGCTTTGTTTTATATGTACTTATCTTTGATAGATGTAACTCACCAGTTAAATAAGTCTGTATAATTTAACGTAAACAGAAAGAGTTTTATGCATAGTATATTTGTATACATCAGTATCTTGTGACATTTGTATGTACATTCCATTATATACACAAGAACTCTCATAACTCGTAGATCGATTATTTTTTACCAATGCTTAGTGGCATGATTAAGGTCCTATCTAAGTCACTAAGCAGGTCAAACCTTTCAAGTCATTGATGGGTTTATGGCTGAAAACTCTGTAAGGCTTGATGCAAGCTTAGTCACTATACTTTTTTTTCTATTTTACTTATCTTGTTATCAGTTATATGAATAATTATGGAAGCCGATTACAACGGACATAAACTGCAAATATTGTGGGACTTGCATGAAAATTAACTGCACAAGAGAATTGACACAAGTTAGTAGCTTACACTGTAATTCGTTATCCTGCAACAAATCTGATAGTGCTACACATAAACGTAAAAGCGGCCACAATTCCCAGCAGTAGTGTGGTGAATGTACTTATGGCTCTCAGAACAAGAATACCACATACTCAAAGTGTAGAAATCAAAGTTTTTACAAAAGTTGTACATGAAACTAGTATTGATGATGATAGAAAGGATGAGGATAAAAATCCCCAACTCTTCATAAGTGACGTTAAGTAAGTAACTCAGAGTATGCTCTTTACATGATAAATGCAAATCAAGTATAGATCTTGGTTTTCTGTAAGTATTAGTGTGAATGTTACCTCTAGAACAGTAGAATACATAATATCTCTAAATGGTTGTTCAAAAAACACTGTTCGGGAGACATACCAAACCAGAGGGCTAATATGGGCACCAGGCTTCAAACAATGGGATGAGAAAAGCTGAGGAGGGTTTTTTTTACAAATTAATCCAAATTCAAATTGTTTGGCAGCAATCAACAATAGTTTCTTCAATGTCAGAGAAGTGAATGATATCGCAGTTAACGTACATGCTGGGTAACCAAGGTAAGTGTGGGCTGCATCTTAGCCAATGGTGTTGAAGATGTACACAGAATTGATGACACTCTTACTACTGGCACGTACATCAGTTTCGACACTGATTGCTAATTATAGCCGTTTGTTATCCATAAGTTCATTTTTTCAGGAACAAAAGTTGGTCGGAGATTCATCTTCCAGCAATACAATGATACCAAGAATTTTGCAAATGTGGGTAAACGATATCTGGAAAGAAGATTTAAGCTGGAACACTCACAACCATAGCTTGGCCCGCACATAGTCCCAGTATATATAATGTTAAGGCTGTATGGGCTTATAAGGAAGTTAAAGAAGCTAAATGGCTACCAAACAACGTGGCTAATTATTTAGAGTAATACACACTTAGAGCAATACTTCATAAACGTACTATGATAAACCCATGATAACATAAAACAATGCAACATACTATTGCACTGTTCAAGATATTTGCGGTTCTTTTTTATTGCAAGAGATAAATTCACAATTAGGGAATGTATTATCTGCGTGTTTTCCCGTAATTATTTCAATACTGTATACTTACATGGGTGAATATGTACACAAGTTCATAATATATATATATATATATATATGCGTGTGTGTATATTTCGTGATGAATTTGATAAAATTTACATATATGTACTGTAGAGGTACACTGTTGTAGTTCGTGCAATTGTAGTTACCTTCTAGAGTGTGAAAATAAGTCCATATACACATAGTTGTACTTCACAAATTTAAACTTTGATAAAGCTTTTGGAGCTTTCGTTTTTTATTAGTTTTAGCATTTTCTTTTTCTTTCTAGGGGTAAACTGTTTGGTGTGAAAAGGTTTCTTTTAGTTTCCTGAAATGTAAAATTTACTTCTTTGGAAATTAACAAGTATTCAATTAACACTTCACGAGTCTTGCAGATTGACTGAAGGACTTTATCGAACCTTGTATTGTAAAACGATCTCCTGTAAGTTTAAAACAACTAAGATTTCATCTCTGATGAAATTGCAGAGTATGTGGTCTCACGAGCTCTTGTACACGAGTTTGAAGTGACATTTAAATTATTGTATAGTTTTCCTTTCAATTTAGATGCGAAATCAATTTGGAATATTAAAAAAGTAATGAAAGATCTCATATTTTCAAAGGTTCTAAGGTACATAATAGGTTTAAGTTTTTTTATATTGGTTTATGACATTAATAGTTTCTGGTTGATTTGTTATTACACTATTGCCTTTATTAATTTACCAGTTTATTTTCTGGATTACTTTACTTCTTACCTATTAAGAAGCTTACTTTTTTATCAGAAGTAAATTTAGAAAAAGCAACGCCATAAGTATTTTTTTTTACACTTGGTGTAACATATTTCACACTTCATAATGTTCACTCCACATAAAATAACAATTACATTCATACAAAAGTGACATATACACATTACCATTACCGCAACTTCCATACTTACTAACGGTTTCATCTTGCACAAATGTTGATTATATAAATTTCAAATTATATGAAGTTTAACACTTACCTTTGTAAAAGATATCAGAAGAAAGAGCTAAATTTTATCGCCACCTATTAACTTAAAAAAATATTAAAGAGGGTAGTGATACATTATTACCAGAATATCGATAAACGAATCAAAATAATATTAAGATATTCTAATACATTTAATAATAGCATACAAACTTTTACAAAGTCCTTTATCTAAAGGTGAAAAGCAGGAAGGAGTAGCTCTGACTGAAGAGACACTCGTCAGTTGTATACACTTTTCCTTCTTCGGAAATGTGATTTTCATGTAGATTTAATTTGCTAGTACTCCCTCATACCGAACATAATAATTAGCTCAGATATCTTATTCAATAAATGATAACTATAATATTTACTTAATTTCAAAACTTCAATGATACTTAACAACTTGATTTGAACATTATCATACTAAATTCTACAGACGGTACTAACTTTAGGAAAAATAATTAATTGTTACGTAATACAAATTACGTGTCTATCACGGAAAAAAAGTACTTTGACATCTTGTGTCATGTTTGTTTATTTGCTGAATATTGCGTCAAGCTACTCGAGGGCTATTTGCGCTATCCGCCCCTAATTTAGAGGCGATACACTAGAAGAATGGCAGCTAAACAACATTCCCAACTCTTGGAACACACTAGAAGAATGGCAGCTAAACAACATTCCCAACTCTTGGAACACACTAGAAGAATGGCAGCTAGACAACATTACC